CTCCAAAGTCATTCCACCAAAGTATGGTATGTTGAGAAAAGTCAGGCTTGCAGCATTTCCATGGTGGAGGGGCCACAGGGTACAGTGGGGAGGAACTGGTGAGCCCAAGTCAGAGGGGGCTGGGAAACAGGGGTCTCAGGCTGGCATCAAGGAAGCAGTGGGAGCAGGTGGGGAGGAGTGCCAGGCTGAGGATCGCTAGGGAGGAAGTGGCCCCGGCACAGGGGCGAAAGGCTGGGCCTGGGGGGAGGGAGGAAGGGCATCTGCGATGGGAGGCGGGTGTGGCACGTATGGAGACCCCAGAAGCCACTCACTTTGAAGAAGGGCTCGCTCTGCTTGCGGATGTCAGCCACTGTGAGGCGGGAGCGGGCATAGCCCACGATGTAGGTGTCTTCGGGCAAAAGGCCATCCCGGAACAGCCACCTGAGGGCAGAGCACAGCTGTGGCGAGGGCGAGGGCAGGAGGACCGTGGGGGGCAGTGAGCAGTGGGGGAACAAGCTTACCAGATGGTGGGGTAGATCTTCTTCTTGGCCAGGTCACCCTGTGGCAGAGAAAACAGGCATGGTTAGGAGCTGAGGACATGCCCTAGATCATCTCCCCCCAGGACACCCGGGTATCCTTGTCCTGCCCCTGTGTACAGCCTGAGCAGCTTGAACTAGAGCCCAGCCTAGCCCTTGACCCTGACCCGACAGTGCTCGCACACTGCCGGGGGCACTTCGAGGCAAAGAGACCTCGTGCTGGCCAGGAGGCAACCACCAACCCGCTGGTTCCACGATCCACAGACCCCAGTCTCTGGTCGAGCAGGCAGAACCAAAGCCAACACAAGATGCCCGCTTCTAAACAGCTCATGGGCTAAAGAAAACCCTAAATTCCCTGGAACCGAATGGCAATGGAAGTAGCACACATCAAATGAGACATGACCTTAAATGCTTAGGTTAGCAAAAAAGAACGGCTGGAAGCTGCTGAGCTCAGAATTCAATTGAAGAAGTTAGAAAAAGGACAGCAGAATTTTAAACCCAAACAAATTACAAGGCAGAGAACAATGAAAAATAAAAATGAATAAAATGGAAAACAAACCTAAAGAAAAGATCAAAAAGCCGAAAGTTGGTGCTTGAAAAAGACTAATCGAAACAGACAGCCTTCTGGCAAGACTGGTTTTTTAAAATAATTAATTAATTAATTATTGGCTGCGTTGGGTCTTCGTTGCTGTGCGTGGGCTTTCTCTAGTTGCAGCGAGTGGGGGCTACTCTTGGTTGCTGTGCGTGGGCTTCTCATTGTGGTGGCTTCTCTTGTTGTGGAGCACAGGCTTCAGTAGTTGTGGCTCACGGGCTCAGTAGCTGTGGCGCAAGGGCTTAGTTGCTCTGAGGCATGTGGGATCTTCCCGGACCAGGGCTCAAACCGTGTCCCCTGCACTGGCAGGTGGATTCTTAAACACTGCGCCACCAGGGAAGTCCCAAGACTGCTTTTTAAACAGGCACCAAGAATTAGGAGTGCAGTGGGACAAAACTACCGATGGGAAAGACAGAAGAGAGGTTTATGAACAACCTTACTGCATGTCTGACAACTTACATGAAATGGACACATTTCTAGAAAAATCCAATATACCAAAACGGAGCAAGGGACCTGAGCAGGCAATGGTTATAAAGGAGACAGGATGGCAGCCACAGCCTTCCCAACGAGACAAGCCTGGCCCTGATCCTGGCACAGAAAGCTCTGCCAGCGGGTCTCCCAGGAAGAGAGAACACCAGTCTGAGGCAAAGCCTGCCTGGGAAGCACCTGCTGAGCCATGTGATGGGGCCCCAGAACCCTGCGGCTGGAACCTCTGAGAAATGCACACAGGAGGCCCCAAGCCCATCTCGTCCATGTACGCAGATACAGATGCAAAATTTCTGCAGAAGATACCAGCAAACCCAATCATGCAACGTCAAAAATGGAATATGTCAGAATCAAGTTGGGGTCATCCTGCAAACGAAAGGTTGGTTTGATGCTGAAAAGCAAAAAAAAAAAAAAAAAAAAAAATCACTGGAAGTCACCACATTAACAGATTAAAGGAAAAAAAGCCGTAAGAAATCTGTCTACTCCTTTTGATTTTTCAATCTAGCAACCTTGCTAAACTCACCAGATGTAGATAAAGTGTTCCAGACATCAACATCTATCACAATAGGACCTCTTACCAAACTAGGAATAAAAGGGAACTTCCTTATCTTGATAAACAGCACCTATAAAAACTCTCACAAACATCATATATTGTGGGGAAATGTTGAAATAATCCCCTTTAAACAGCCAGGAGCAAGAAAAGAGCGCCTGCCATTGGCTGTTTATTCAATGCCCCACCAGAAGCCCTGACAGCAGCAGGTGGAGAGCAGACAAGACGTGAGGACGGGAAACGAAGAGCCACGCTGGCCCTCTTTGTAGCTGACAGTCTGTCCGTTAAAAGAAAACCACCTCAAAGCAAGCTACAGGCAAATTATTACAATTAATGAGATTTTAGCAAGGCTGATAGATTTAAAAAAATCAACAGATGGGAGTAGAAACAGATTTCTTAGGACACAGAAAGCAGTAATCAGAAAAACGGATAAATGAAGGTTTCAGCAAAATTAGAAACTCCTGTTCACCATAATACACTACTAAGAAGGTGAATAGAAAAAAAGAAAAAAAAGAAGATGAATCCACCCAAAGGCTTAAATCCATCAACAGGGGATGGACAGGCAGCATCAAGGGGTGAGCCGAGGGGTTCCCTGGCGGGCCAGTGGTTAGGGTTAGGGCTCCTGCTTCCACTTCAGGGGGCCTGGGTTCGATCCCTGGTCGGGGAACTAAGATCCTGCAAGCTGTGCAGGAGACCAAAACAAAAACAAACAAAAAAGGGATGAGCCAGTGACCCACCCAGCACATGTGAATCTCAAAATCATAATGCTAAGCCCCAGCCCCAGACACAAGACTAAATACCCTGAGCTCATTTAAGTGAAGCTTTAGAAAAGGCAAAATGATTGCACGGTGATGGAAGTGGCAGCCGCGGTGCTCCAGAGCAGGAGGTGGGCCACCGCTCGAGGCCTTCCTGGGGAGGTGGGAACATCCTCTTTGCTAATAAAGGTGTGTGCACCTTTACAGTGAAAATGGGTGCCTTTCAACGTGTACAAGTTTTACCTAAAAATAAAAAGACTGAAAAGAATAATAACCGAGCAGAGGGTGGGGCCCGGGTAGCCTGAGCGCTTAGCTGTTGACTTGTGTGCGCGTGAAACTTTCCAAAGTAAGAGCAAGGGTATGAACACACAGTAACTGTGGGCAACAATATGGTCATCCCACGAAGGTGACAGAAGACTCACTAAAATGTCACTAAAAAGTCCCTTCTCTCCACTCCAGTTCAGTCGCCGCGGCCACGGCAACATGCGTTAATTTGGTGACCTGACAAAGGAATTCTCCACTCAGGTGGAAGAGGCTTCCAGCGAGGGCATGGCTAGGGGGGTGGGGTGGGGGGCAGAGGAAGCCTGCGGGGCACAGCAGGCCACCCTTTCATGCGCCCGCCCTGTAATCAGGGAGGGCCGCTGGGCGGAGGCGCTGGACTCACCCTGGGCAGGAAAACCACCTCCAGAGATAAGGACCCAAATCTTCGCGGCAAAATGACCTTAGGAGCCACGTAACCACTGGACGGGTTCTATGAACCACTGCAGAACGGAAGCCGCGTGACCAGAAGCGAAGCAATTCCAACCTGATTAAAATCCCTGCCCCCTAGACAGGCAGTTAGGAAGGCACTTGGGGGGCTCCTGGGTGGTGGTGGAGGTCGGGGTGGACCACTTATGAGACTCAAACGTTCGCGTTCCTCCTGTCCTTGGCTTCAGCCTCCAACTCCCGGGCTGAGCCGACCTCTGCATGCAGACAAGCCCAGGTGTCTGTTCCACCCCAGGTCACCACCTCCAGGCTCCACTGGGACCCCGACTGCCCGAAGTGGGCGGTTCCCAAGCCAGCGTTCCCCATGCTGCTGCCCCTGCCCATGTCTTGCCAACTGCTCAGAACTGATCCCCCACGTGCCTGCCATCTTCCATGGAAGACAGCAGTGCATCAAGGTCCGGCTCCGACCCCCAGCCGGGGCCTCGAGCTGCCCCCGAGCCCAGTAGCCCCCAGCTGCGGCCCCCTCCTCCCAGGGCCCATCGGCGCCTGCTTCCTGCTTCTCCATCACTGGGACCGGGCCGGTGGGAGACTCCACTCTGGTCCCCGGGGCTCGGTGGGCCCCGTCTCCTCCCGGGCTTGTCGGGGACTGGCCGGGAGAAACGACCAGCACCACGGCCCACAGCCACCTCCCGCCTTCCTGGCCAAGTGGAATGTTTGCTTCCGATCAAATTCCAGCAGGCTGCCCGCCGGGCCCGTCCTGCCTGACTCACGGCGCCCCACACCCCACTGCTCTCGCTGGTCCCTTTGGGATTAACTAGCGATAGAACCTGCTCGCCTTGTTCAGCTCAGCCCTGCAACCAGTGGCCTGTTGGGCTCCGACTCACCCGACGGAAAGACGAGGTAGGACCCAGGACAGTGGGGGGCAGGGGCCCGGGGAGGCCCACCCTCCCCACCAGCCTGGGCTGGGCTCCTCTGCCAGGACCGCTGTGGGAAGAGAGCATGCTGCACATGGTGGGGGCGACGATGGGGCTCCCGAGGACCACAGCAGGGAGGGACGTGCCTGGGGACACATGGTGATGTAGCAGGAGAAGCAGTACCTGATTCAAATTTCCAGCTGTCAGCAAAGGGCCGTGGGCCGCCACCTGCCTGTCACCGCCCAGGTCTGACCTCAGTCTCCAGTTTTATAAACCCTCGGTCTCGGTCTCGGAGGCTTTTAGGGTGGAGGGGCGCGGCAGAGAATGCAGAGGCCGGCTGCCAGCTGGAGGCCAGGAAGGGGTGGGCTATCCCTGTCCCACTAGGGCCACCCGGGTCAAGGATCGCCCAGGTCCTGGGGTGGAGCGCAGCTCTGCTGGGGCCCAGCTGGATCCCAGCCACTGGGGTGAGACCCTGGGGCTGCTAAGGCAGGCTGGGCTGCAAAACCAACAAAAGGGCCTCACTCCTACTCCCTGGGGCTCATGAATCATCAGGCCTTTGGGGGAGTGCCAGAGTCATCATGACACAGCAAGAATCTTATCGCCCTAAGAGGGGAGGCAGCCCAGAAACACCCTGAGGAGAGGGAGGGCTGAGGTTGCCAGATCATGCCGTGCACAGGCCCATCACTGGGATGGGACCTGAGCACCGATCGAGCTCACGGCCCTCGTGGTCCAGGTGGGGAAACCGAGGCCCAGAGAGGCGAGGGAGACGTGCTGAGGACCATGCAGTGAGCCAATCTTGCCCGAGGGGGCTCCCAGTCCTGTTTTCTTTCTCTCGCCCCGATTGCTCTCTCCGTCCACTGTGGGGGGAAAGCGGCTCCGGCCTGGGAGAGGACACATGCGATCTGCCAGGCCCCAGGTTCCTCTCCCAATGCTGGTCTATGAGGAGAAACTGAGCTCTTTCATTCCAGAGCTCTCTGGACTGGGACAGTAAGTACCTCCACTCCCTTCCCAGCCGAGGGTGGGAGTCCTGAGAAGGGAGATAGTGGTCTCAGAGCAGGGAGAAGAGAGTGGCTGAAAGCCCATCGGTAAGACCACAAGCCAGCCTCAGGACACGCCCAGGAAGGAAGCTGGGCATGCGGGCGATGGTTGGGTAAGTGGCCCAGGGAGGAGAGGGGGCAGAGGACGGCCCCGCAGCCCAGCCTGCTCCAGGGGCTCTGCGTCCGCTCGTCCTTCTGAGAGGAAGGCTCTGTTCCATGGCCCTGGGAACATGAAGGCCTGGCAGTGTCTGCTGTCACATGCACTCACCTTGGGTTCCGGCCCCCAGCACAGTTCCCATGAGGAGGGGGGGGAGGGGGGAGGGGGGAGGGGGGAGGGAGGAGGGAGGAAGCCTCCCAGCTGGGCTAGGTGGGAGCTCTTCTAGGTGCTGCCCTTGCAGGGACACGCCCTCCGCACCCGGAACAGGAGGAGGGAGAAATACACAAGGGCTCTTCCTCAAGGACCCTCCTCCTCCCCCACTCCACCCTGCTGGAGCGGCACTTCCCACTTCTGCTCTAGAAGCCTCTGGTTATTGCTCCCACAGCAGAGGAGAGCAAAGGGGAACCCTACTGTTGGCAAAGAAACAAAGTTGCCTAAGCCCAAGCCCATCCCACATGAAGGCAGTGGAGTCACAGAATCAGCTCAGCAGAGCCCCAGGGCCCTCCACACTTGTTTCAAAAGACCTCAGTTATTAAGTGGAGACAATGAGGTTCAGAGAAGGAAAGACACCTGCCCCAGGCCACAGAGCAAACTTGGATGCTCTCAATGAGATATCTAAGTGTTGAGGGCCTGGGGTCATATGCCATTTACTGAGGCCTGGGACCCTCTGTTGGAGCATCCTGTGACAGGCCGGTATGGGGACGGGGGGAAGGAGGAAAAATAATCCTGAGTTACTTTCTCCCCCAACCTATTTCTTAGACAAGGTCCCAGGTGTTAAGGTTTCTGGCTCCTCTAAGGGGATGAGGCCGGGGCCACGGTGGGGGCCAGGTCTGCTCCGTGTGCTCCTCCTGGGCACCCCCCAGTCCTGGGTGACAGGGGGTCAGGGGACAGTGTTTGGGGTGACCTTCCTTCCCTCCCACTGGCAGAGCCCTGCATTCTGGCTCGCTTTTCCAAGTTCTGAAGAGAATCACAAAACTGGCAGGAGGCAGGCTCTGCAAAGCACGGTGGCGTGTTACGACACATGAACGAAGAACTGAGTTCCTCCAGAGCTGAGGGGACAGTGGTGTGGAAGTCACAGAGAGACAATGTCTGCTCCGTCAAGAGCTGACTAGTTTGGGTAGAACTCTCGCTTGAGGTTTATATAATAAGTTACCAGCAAAGATGCTCATATCATGGGTAGCAGATTCTTGGTCAAGTCCACGGTGAAAAGAGAAAAAAGACCACTTTCACTTTGAGATGAAACCTTGACAGCTCCCCAGCCCCTGCTCATGTCTTACCACTGGGTAGATCTTGTTTCCACACGGCACGTGGGGAGAGTGCTTCCGTCAGGGGTCATGGCTCTCTGAGGACCCACCCTCCCTCTCCTGTTCCCCCACCCTCATCACGTATGGTCAGCGTGCTTTACTTCTGACTTTGCTTCTACTCTTTGGCCTTTCTGATCAGAGAAAAGTGGCAGTTCCACTGGCTAGACAATGGGGCTGGTCTCAGTTCCTCAGCAGGCCTTGGAAGCTGGGGCAAAGAGATGGTATTTCAAGAAAGGTTGAGTGTTTTTCCTCAGGGAACTTGACAGTAGAGAGATAAGGCAGAGACCCAGCCTCGAATCCTACCTCTGGATCTAACTGTGTGACATCTGTCAAGTCAGAAACAGGTTTGGAAAACACACTCCCAGAATGAATCGCTTCCCCTGTTTGCATATCAGTTTTCCCTGTGGAGGAGGAAGTCCAACCAGACAGTCTCTAAGGACCTCCCAGCTCCAGGACATAGGTCTACAGTCAATGGCTGCACACGGACTTCAGAAATGCCTCGCGGTGTGTGTATACTGGGTGGTGGCAGGAGGAGTGGCACATGAGCAAGGGCAACAGCGAGAGCCCAACCGAGCAGAGCCCGAGGGACCCGACGACAATCAGTTGGGAAAGCCCAGGTACCTAAAGGGAAGGGAACTGAAGCAACGTCACGCTCTAAGTCTGCTGATTCTACGATGTGGGGCCTGGGGGAGACTCACCGATGCACCCATGATGATAAAGATATGCGTATCAGCCTGATGGAAGGCATCGCCCTGGTACAGCTCTTCCCGCAGGATCCCGCACACCTGGGTCCGGCTCAGAGCCACCTGCCCTGCCATGATGCTCTCTGGTGGAAGAAAAACTGGTTAACAAGGCAGGAGAACAGAAGAGCATTGAGAAGCTGGCCCCTTTCTAGAGGGGTCCTTTGGGCTCTCACCCAGCTGGTGCCTGATTATTGAAACCACTCACTGTGAATGGCTGGGGAGCAGGACGTTTGGGAGGTTAGAAACTGCTGGCCCTGGGCTCTGGCCATACTCTCTGGGCAACCTTCTTTCATGGTGTATGTTACCAAATTACCCAAAGCATTAATGAATTCCTTCTAGGGCCTCCGCTCTGGGGGACTGAATAAAACCCTGCTGTAGCATTGTACGACCTGCTTAAGACTATCTCACCCGGGGTTCAGGCGGAAACTCCACAATGAGCTGGAGCATGCTAGATTGTGCAGCTGATGGAGTGTAGCTCCAGCCCTCCTCCTGCCACGCTGCGAGACACCGGCAAGCCCCGTGTCCAGTGTGGCGGGGGGGCGGGGATGTAGGGGACTGTAAGATCGGCTAAGACCCTCTCGATTTTGCCCCGTTCCCAAGTATGGGAAATCAAAGTGCCTCGCAGCGCCGCGACCGCCCACTCAGTTACCTGTGCTTCGACGCTGCCACCCGTCGCGCTCGCAGCCCCGGAGTTCCCGGCAGTTTCCGGGGGCTACTCCCCGCCGGCCCATTTAACCGGCGGGGGCGGGCACCTGGTCTGAGCTGACCAGCCTCAGGCGAGACGCGCGGGTGGGGCCTCTGCAGGCCCCTCCCTCGAGGGGCGGGGAGGGCCAAGGGGCGGGCAGGTGCGCGCGCATTCCAGGCCGCCCCCCCCCCCCCCCCCCCCCCCCCCCCCCCCCAGCAGACCCTGTGCGAGGGCCCAGCCCTGGCCCACCCTGCCCTTTGAGCACCTGCGCTGGCCGCCGGGCTACGAGCTGCTTCCTTTACCCGCCGCCGTTGTACCGTGTCCCCGATGCTTCGAGAGTCCGCGTGCTGCTCTCTGCTGCTCGCCCGCGTGCCCATCCCCGGCCCGACCCCGCCCCTATAGTCCGGCTTTCTCGCGTGCCCTGGGAGGTCCCGCGCCCTCGCGAAGGGCTCCACTTCCGCCGGCCGCGTGGTCACGCCCCTCGACCTTGTTTGTGGGCGGGGCCTTCAGCAGCCCCGTCCCCTCTCTGGACCGGTCGCCGGATCAGGTCAAACCGGCCCTATTAGATGATAGCCTCGTCGTGGCTCCTCCCCTAACGGGGGCGGGGCGGCCAAGCGCCCCGAGGCTGGATGCAGCCGACGGAGAGACAAGGGGGAATGCGGGTCGCGACGCATATTACTGGGGAACGTCCTGAGGGCCAGCCGAAGCTGCCGGGCTCGGGTTTCGGTCTGAGGCAGCCTCCCTCACACCTCTCCCCGGCCGGCCGGGGTCGGGGCCTGAGTGTTTTACTTCCGGATCCCACATTTACGACACCGGAAGCCGGAAGTGGGAATTTGGCAGCGGGAGAAGGGAAGGGCTACCGCGGAACCCAGGCTTTCTCGGAGCATCGGGGCCCGAGGAGCGCTCGGGGCCCGCCACTCCCGCCTTTCTCACGTCGGACCGACTCTGCTGACAGGTGTGGTCCTCTTTTCCGAAGACAGGGTACCATCGGTGGGTGTTCCGCTGCCTCCGAGACCCCCCCCCCCCCGGACGACCAGGCTTCCCCCTCCTGTTGGGCCCCAGCCAGGTTCTGCCGCCAGCTTCTAGACCAGGGGCCGAGCCCAGCCGATTTAGGACTCAGGTTACTTTAGCGGCGAGCGGGACTGTTCCTGCCTCTTCTTCCTCCACCACGGCGGAGTCTGACCACACCCCTAGTTTGTGAATGACTCTTCTAGTTCGGAGACATTTTCTGTTCATCAAACTTGACTGCATTTGAGGTTAAGTTCTTTAAAAAGGCCTCAAATATAACTTGGCAGCTAAGTTTCTTAACTCATGTGCCTCATTTTGCTCCTTTTGCAAAAGGTGACTGTCTCCCGGACCTCATATCCTTTCTGTGACTTGAGGATGAATGGGTCATCCTGGCATGTTCGAGGAACTCATTAAGGCGGCCACTATATCTGGAGTAGAGTGAGCGAGGGGAGAGTACTTAGAGTGGAAGCCATGGGGGACCAGATAGTGCACGGCCTTGTAGGCGGGTTGTAGGGTCTTTGAGTTTTACGCGATGGGCAATGAGACACCATGGTAGGGATCCGAGTAGAAGAGGAATGTGATCAGAGTCACCTTTTAGGCTGATTGTTCAGCTGATTGTTCGCTGATTGGCGCGGTGGGGAGAACAGACTGCAGGGGGCAAGGGTAGGAGCAGGGTGACCTGTTAGGAGGTTATTGTAGTAATCCAGGTGAGAGACGATGCTGCTCTGATCATTTTATTATGTAAAATTTCAAAGATGTTCAAAAGTAGAAAGAATAGTCTGGTAAATCCAATGTATCCACTTCCCAGCTTCAACAGTTACCAACTCGTGGCTACTTTTGTTTAATTTATACCCCTCACAGTATTCTATTATTTTCAAAAATAGCTTTATTGACATATAATTCACATACCTTACAATTCACCCATTTAAAGTGTACAGTTTGCTGGTATATTCACAGACTTGCACAACCATCACCATTAATTCCAGAACATTTTCATCACTCCAAAAAGAAATCCCATAAACTTTAGCCATCACCCCCATCACCCCATCTACCCCAGCTCTAAGCATCCACTAGTCTCTATGTATTTGCCTGTTCTGGACATTTCACATGAATGGAATCATATAATATGTGGTCTTTTGTGACTTGTTTCTTTCTCTTAGCATAATGTTGTAGCGTGGGAACGTACTAGATTTTGTTTATTCATCAGCTGATGGACATTTCGGTCATTTCCACTCTTTGGCTGTTAGGAGTAATGCTGCTGTGAACATCCCTGTGTGGACACAGGTTTTCATTTCTTTCAGGTAGATACCTAGGAGTTCCCCCATTATTTTGAACCAAATTCCAGACAGTGTAATTTCGTCCACAAATATTTCAGTGTGCATCTCTAAGAAATGACTTTGAAAGAAACATAACCACAATACCACTATCACACCTAAAATAGTTACCATTATTTGCTTAGCATCATCAAATAAATTCTAAGATACATTTTGACAGGATTTCCTGATGGATCTGACGTGAGCTGTGAGCGGCAGAGAGGACTCAAGAAGGACTCCTAGGTTTTGTCCCGCTAACTGGAGGATGGATTTGTCACCAACTGCTAATAAGGAAGGCCGTGGGTGAGCTGGCTTCTGGGAACTGTCAGGAGTGCAGTTTTAGAGACGTTAGTTTTTTGTTTTTTTTTTTTTGCGGTACGCGGGCCTCTTACTGTTGTGGCCTCTCCCGTTGCGGAGCACAGGCTCCGGACGCACAGGCTCAGCGGCCATGGCTCACAGGCCCAGCCGCGCCGCGGCACGTGGGATCTTCCCGGACCAGGGCACGAACCTGCGTCCCCTGCATCGGCAGGCGGACTCCCAACCACTGCGCCACCAGGGAAGCCCGAGACATTAGTTTTGAGAGGATGACTAGATACCCAAGTGGAGATGTGGAGTTTGATGTGTTAGTTTGGAGTTCAGGAAGGAGTTCTGATTTGGGGTATCATCAGCATTAAGATGAGGGTTACAGCTTTGAGTCTGGATGGAATTAGTATTGGAGTGACTGGAGTTAGAGAAAAGATCCCAGAACAGAGCCATGTGAAGGGCTGGGCTGACGAGGATGGTCCAGTGAAAGAGCCAGAGCAGGGGCAGCCCGTGAGGCAGAAGGAGAACCAGGAGAGTGGGCTGTTCTGGAATCAGGGACCAGCGATCCGTCAGATACTGCTGGTGGGTCAGGAGGGTGTTCAGGTAAGTATCAGTAATAGTGAAACGTCCAGGCTCACTTGGTGTTCGAGTCTCTGGCTGAAGCTCAGGCCCTACTCCTGGAAACTTCTGTTGGGATTGGCCTCCTCCTCCATGTAGTCAGTCTTCTTGGTCAGGACTTAAAAGGGCTCCAGGCTGCTGCTGTCCAGCATAGCCTCCCTCTCTATACTCTAGTTCACAAGAGAACGCAAACAGCTCAGCCTGTGTCTGCCACTCTCTCTTCGGCTGTGAGCCCAGCTCCCACTTTCAGATGCTTCAGTACACATCAGATGCTAGATGTCCACCTCGGCCCCTCAGGTCCAGGGAACACTCATCAGGCTCTGAGTGAAGCCCCTCTTACTTGGTGTATGGACCACCTAGGGCTGCTGTGGGAGATTTCCACAAGCCAGGGGGCTGAAAACAACAGAAATTTATCCTCTCCCAGCTCTGGAGACCAGAAGCCTGAGATCAAGGTGTTGGCAGGGCCGTGCTTCCTTTGGAGGTTCCAGGGGAGGGTTCTTCCTGCCTCTTCCAGCTTCTGGGGGCTCCAGGTGCCGCTTGGCTTGTGGCCGCATCCCTCCCATCTCTGCCTCCATCTTCACGTGGCTTCTGCTCTGCGTCTGTATCTCTGCTCTTCTGTGTCTTATAAGGACCCTGCCATTGGATTTAGGGCCACTCTCATCCAGGATGATCTCATCTCCAGATCCTTAACTTTATTACATCTGCAAAGACCCTTTTGTCAAGTCAGGTCACAGTCACAGGTTCTGGGGGTCAGGGCGTGGACATACCTTATTGGGGGCCATCATTGCACTCAGTACACTAGGTGAGGGGCCAGCACCCTCTACTCGTGCTTGGAGGTGTAGGTGTCGGGGTAGGATTCCCGGCACACTGGCACCTCCCTCCAAAAATAATCTCCGTGATTTCTCCTCTCTGGTGAAGTTCCTCAGGTTACAGCCTGGAGATAGTGCTAGGCACAGTTTACAACCAGTGCTGGACCGTGACCTTTCCAAGCGCCACATAAATGCCTGTGCCTCCCTTTGGAATGGGAGTATGTGCCACCTCTTAGCAGCCTTTTCTGCTTGGCACAGTGCTCGTCATTCTGCTTAAAGTGTGGCGCCCGAACTCCTCCCCGGCCTGCAGGGTGGGAGAATTCTGCATAGGCCTCCTCACGTGATGCCTCTGCTGGCTCTCTGTTTCAGACCCTGACGTGTTGGATGAGCAGGCCCCCTTGGAAGAGTCCACTGTGTGAGATGGTGCAGCCTAGCGGCGGCCCGGCAGGGGACCAGGACGTGCTGGGTGAAGAGTCTTCTCTGGGGAAGCCAGCCATGCTCCACCTGCCTTCAGAGCAGGCTGCTCCTGAGACCTTCCAGCGCTGTCTGGAGGAGAATCAAGAGCTCCGAGGTGAGGGAGACAGCGGGTGTGTGGAGTAAAATGTCCGGGGACCCGGCACTGCTGGGGGAAGGATTATCGCACTCACCTGCCCCTCTGCCTTGACTGGGACTGGGGTGGGCCAGTTAGAGACTGAAGCTCAGCCACACTTCCTCTTTGTTTCAGGTGGGATTCCCTGGAAGTGGACTTTGAGATACAGAGTGGCATGCAGGACGTTTATTTAGAGTTCTCTTAGGAGTAACACTGGGGGGGGGGGAAGGGCAGGGCAGTGAAGAAGCAGGGGAGGGCGGAGGGAGAAGCTGGGCCGCAGTGCAGGCCAGCCCTACAAGGAGCTCTGGAGCGGGAAAGACCCTTCTGCGTTGTCCCACTTGGGCCAACGCGGCCAGGCCCCCTGTGTCTCCGTATTGATCAGTCATTAAGCCCTGGCTCTCGTGGGAAGGGGCGAGGCTATCCTGGGAAGGAGCGAGGTTATTCCGGGAGGGGCGTGGCTATCCTGGGGAGGGGGCGTGACCTGCTCCGGAAAGGGGCCGTGGTCTGCTCTGGGAATGGGCGTGGCCTCCCTGAGAAGGGCCAGTGGGCTGCTTTGGAAAAGGGGCGTTCAGGCTCTGTGGGCGGGGCATGAGCCCGGGCGGGCCGCTCCTCGAAGTTACCGGAGCTGAGGGCTGTCCTCCAGCAGCACCCACCCCCCAGGTGGCCGGGTTCGAGTACCTTCCGGGCCGCCCCCTCCCCATCGCCATCACAGCCCCCGCTCACTCACTGTCCATGTGCTCACCTGCATCGGGGGCAGCTTCTCCAGGCCCCAGGGGCCGTCTCATCGCGCCCCTCACCTGGTGTGGCTGCCCTGGGGTGTGGCCCACTCCTGCCTGCTTCGCGTGAGACAGCCCTCCCCCCTGGTGGTCGTGCCCCGGGGGCTCCTCGTCTGGCGCGCCGCTCCTTGGGTACGGTAGCCCCAGGTGCCCAGGCGGCGCCCCTGCTTCTCACTCAGTGAGACTCTTGTGTTTTGTGCTGTGAGGACCTTCTACACTGCCGAGCCCAGAGCTGCAGGTGGAGATGGGCGGCGCAGACTCCCCGGGTGGGTCACGGGGAGTGATGGGGCACATGGCCACTTTTGCTTCATCCTGGTTCCTGTTGGCAACTCAGGGCTTAGAAAGGTCGCAGCCTTTGTGTACACCATATCCCAGAGGACAGGGCCTTGGTTATTTTCACTCAGCCGTCCACTGTCCAAGCTGGTGGGCAGGTTGGCATGTGACATAAGCAGTGGAGGCCACAGTCATGGGACCACTCCCCGACCCCTCTGCTGGACAGTGCATCCTCTGGTGTGATGGGATGTCACGCGGGGCCCTGTGCTGATGAGTCACGTGCCCTGTAGGCCTCGGAGACTGGTGCTGGCTGAGGCCCTGCAGGCAGGGACCAAACTTGTGCCCAGAATATGTGTCTCTTTTTCTGTGAAGATGAGTCGCCTTCTCTTGCAGGATGGAAAGGTCAGCCGGCCACTTAGGGGCTGCTTGGTCTTTTGGAGCGCTGGCCTGCTTTGGAGACAGCCCTGATTCACGCACAGAGGGCTGGGACCTACCTGCTTGAGGACAGGGTCCTCCCCCTCAGCGCTCAGACGTCTAGAGGTTGTTCTGGGCACTGTGGCGTGTTGAGCAGCGTCCCTGGCCTCTACCCACGAGGTGCCAATAGCACCCCTTCAGTTAAGACAACCATCAGTATCCCCAGATGTCATCAGATGTCCTACTGTGTTGGGGCCACATAGAGCTGGCAGCCGGGCTGAGGGGCGGGGAGACAGCTCACCCTCCATAGCTATGTGCGTAGTCTCTGCTCATCCCCAGGACAGCGCTCTGGCAAAGGGGACTCGGGCTGGCCAGACAGGCACCATGGACCCCCAGCTGCCCCCCAGGGAGCTCGGGCTCTGCACGTTTCTGCTTATACGGCTGCAGTGTATCAGGCCCTGGTCCAAACCCCTGGGGCCCGAGGTGTCTGCCCCTGTGATGCTTGTGATTGTGTCCATGGAGGAGGGGGCAGGAGGGAGGACGTAGGATTTGTTTGGAGTATTTGTGGGTAAGCTTCATGGTAGAAGTCGTTTCTACCTGGTGTAGGAGTCCATTGATGTGGCGAGTCCAGTGAGAAGCATGAGTGGGCGCCAGTGTCTGGGGCCAGAGGGGAAGTGACTGCCAGTGGGTATGAGGTTTCTTTTGGAAGATGGAAATGTTCTGGAGCTAGATAGAGGTGATGGGTGCACAGCTTGGTGAACATACTATAGCCACTGAATGACCGTATACTTTAAAATAGTTCAAGTGGTGAATTTGGTGTTCTGTGAATTGTACCTCAGTTAAAAACAGAAGTTGCGTGTGAGCTGAGCTGAGCCTTGGTGGAGGCTGGTGAGGAACCTGAGGCAGGGGACAGTGGGGCGCACAAGGTGGCTTTGGAGCCAGGCTCAGGAGCCACTGTGGTTCCGGCGAAAGAATGTTCCATCAGTAGGCACCAGTTAGCTCGTTGGGGGTTTTGACCAGAGGGGGGCCTGAAGCTACTGCCTGCCCCCTCTTGTCCAGCTCTGTGGTGGCTAGAACCTTTGCATGCCACGGATCAGTTCTGTCACTCCCAACGGATTTCTGCTGCCTGGGGTGTCCCCAGATGTGTGGCTGTCCTTTCCTTAGGCCCTGCTGACTGCCCGGGGAAAGGAGGATGGACTGGTTCTTGAGGTTGTCTTGAAAACCAGGCACTTGGGCTGCTTTTTTGTTCACCTTTCCTCATCCTGTGAGATGGGTGTGCTTCTCCCCGTTGAACATGGACATGAGGATGGTGAGGCTCAGAGAGGTGGCTAAGTGGCCTGCTCCAAGGCTTCTCACCACCCCCCCCGGTCTGTGGCCAGCAGTGCCACGGGCAAGTTTGTTCTGGTGGCTGTGCCCCCGAGTCTGATCCCGAAGGCAGTGACCCAGGGCCCCAGGGCGGCCCACCTCTGACCCACGCAGAGGGCAGATGAGTTCCAGAGTCACTTGCAAAGAAAGTGGCATTTGACACGTGCTTTTTTCTTTTTTTTTGGCTGCCATGTGCGGCCGGTGGGATCTCAGTTCCCCAACCAGGGATTGAACCCACTCCCTGACAGCGAAAGCCTGGAATCCTAACCACTAGGCCACCAGGGAACTCCCGGACACATGCTTTCAAGTGAAGCTGACGTGGTTAATATCTTGGAGACACTGGGGGCACGTCATTTGCGTAGTTGACTTCGAAAGCGCTTGGCGAAGTGAAGGGAGTGTTTGGAAGCTGTCAGGGTGGGAGAGGCCGCGGGGTGGTGGAGGCCGCGGCCACCAGGCTCACCTGCCCCCTGCCACCTCTGCAGATGCCATCCGCCAGAGCAACCAGATGCTGCGGGAACGCTGTGAGGAGCTGCAGCGTTTCCAGGGCAGCCAGAGGGAGGAGAAGGCCTTCCTCATGCAGAAGTTCCAGGAGGCCCGGGACCTGGTGGAGAGGCTGAGCCTGGAGAAGCGGGAGCTGGACCGGCAGAGGGAGCAGGCCCTGCAGGAGGTGGAGCGCCTCAAGACATGCCAGCAGGTAGCGGGCCACTGCTGCCCGCCCCGGACCCGCAGGGACTGTGCTCGGGGTCGTGGGGGGGGGGGCTCCTGGAGTTGGGAAAAGCCATTGTCCTCGTGGTCATGGCGTTAGGCTTAGTCACCCAGGAGGGATGCAGGTTGAAATCAGCAAAGATAAAAGGAACAGAGGGCGGGTCCAGGAGAGGCTGGGCCACGTGTGATGGCACGCACGGGTACCACCGCCAGGGAAGCTCCCGTGAATGGTGCGGTCTGGGGACTTGAGTGGGGGTTGGTCCTGGAGGCCTGGGGCACCCACGTGACTGACCTGAGTTCCCGGGTCTCTGCGCCCCGCAGGTCAAGGTGATACATGTGGCCTGGGGCCCCGCCCCAAATCACCCTGGTGGTGTAGACTGCCTGGTGGGGGCCCTTGGGGAGGTGTGTTAGGTTCCTGGAGCTGCTGTAACAAAGTACCACAAACTGGATAGTTTTAAGCCACAGAAACGTATTGTCTCCTAGTTCTGGAGGCTGGAAGTCCAAGATCAAGATGAGGGCAGGATCTGGCCAAGGCCTCTCTCCCAGCCTCGGGGGCTGGCTGGCAGGACTTGGAGCCCCTTGGTTTGCAGACACACTGTCATGGGGCCTTCTCCCCGCATGTCTGGGCATCTCTCCTCCTCTTATGAAGACACTGGTGTCAAAGAGCAGCTCAGCCGGCCATTAGGTAAAGGGGTAAAAACAGGTTTTGTTTGGTAACTACCAACAGCAGGGGAAGGTGCTGCGCACCCTTCTGATGGGCACAGAATTGCTGGCGATTTGAAGGGAGAGTGAGGTGGGGGCAGCGAGCAGGGGCTCAAGTGAAAACCCACACGGGGTGGGTCAGTGTCAGTGCGGTGAGGTCAGCAGCGTCCACCCCGGGAGTCAGTTCTGGAAGTTAGGATTCCATCCCACGCAGACACACGCAGACCGAGGCCCTATCCTTCCTGAGGATTTCGTTTCAGAGGAATGGCTCTCAGGTCCCCAAGAAAGACTCCTGGGTTGTCTCAAAGGGACAGAGGAAGGATTCACATGTTGGGAGCCCTCTTAGGAAAGGCTCTGAGGATAGTGGGGGTCTAGGTCAGGTGTTGGCTGGAGCAAACAGTACATTCTTTTGCCAGCCCTCTTTTCTCAGACAGGAACTCAAAAGGGGGCTGGGCCGGCCCAGGGTCGTGACCTTAGGCTGCAAGAAGCCACTCTAGAGTTTGCTCGAGTGTCCGAGTCTTTTGTAGTTCTCAGCAGTCACTGGATCAGGGGCCCACCCTCCTCCAATACGATCTCATCTTAAGTTGGTCACATCTGGAGAGACCCTGTCTCTAAATCAGGTCCCATTTACAGGTACTGGGGGTTAGGCCGTGGCCATGTCACTTTGGGGCCATCGGTAAAGCCACTACAATCCTGAACTGGTGTACTCGGCGCAGAAGTGAGAAGGAGAAGGCTGCTGTTCTCAGGATGCCTTCAGAGCATCCGCCTGCCCCGTGCTCACGTGATGGGATGCTGGCTTCACGGTAGCGATCAGAGCCACTGCCAAAGCCCTATTTCTAGCTGTCAAGCCTGACAGTAGCGGGTATTGGAGGGGCCATGGCTTCATGTTGCTGGTGGCAGCATCAGTTGGTGCCACTGCTTTTTTTTTTTTTTTCGGTACGCAGGCCTCTCACTGTTGCGGCCTCTCCCGTTGCGGAGCACAGGCTCCGGACGCGCAGGCTCAGCGGCCACGGCTCACGGGCCCAGCCGCTCCGCGGCATGTGGGACCCTCCCAGACCGGGGCACGAACCCGTGTCCTCTGCACCGGCAGGCGGACTCTCAACCACTGCGCCACCAGGGAAGCCCCAGTGCCACTGCTTTGAAAAACTATTTGGCATTTTTCTCTTCAAGTTGAAAATTTAGGTCACCCCCAACTCATCAGTTGTACCCCTGGTATACGTAAGAGAAACTCCTGCACATGGACAACAGGTGATGGGGATAAGACGGTGACCCCAGCAAAAACCTGGGCATAGCTGAGTGCCCGTCCCTGGAGAAAGTGGTAGAGCCACAGGCTGGAGTTTTTTCCAACAGCTCTTCCAGGATAAAACTCAACATACCATGAAATTCACCCCTTGAAAGTGTAGAATTCAGTAGTTTTTAGTATAGTCACAGAGTTGTCCAACTGCCACCTCCATCTGCTTCCAAAACATTGTCATCATCCCAAGGAGAAAGCCCGTCCCCACGAGCAGTCACTGCCCAGCCCCGGGCACATGCTCACCTTCCTGTCTGTGTTTGCCTGCTCTGGGCGTCTCCTGTGAGTAGGATCCACCGTGTGGCTCTCATGTCTGGCTGCTTTCACTCAGCATCACGTTTTTTTTTTTTTAAATAATATTTACTTATTTATTTATTTGGTTGCACCAGGTCTTAGTTGTGGCAGGTGGGCTCCTTAGTCATGGCATGCGAATTCTTTTTAAAATTTTTTTAACATCTTTATTGGAGTATAATTGCTTTACAGTGGTGTGTTAGTTTCTGCTTTATAACAAAGTGAATCAGCTATACATATACATATAACCCCATATCTCCTCCCTCTTGCGTCTCCCTCCCTCCCACCCTCCCTATTGACATGCGAATTCTTACTTGCAACATGCCTGTGGGATCTAGTTCCCTGACCAGGGATGGAACCTGGGCCGCCTGCATTGGACCTCAGAGTCCTAAGCACTGCGTCACCAGGGAAGCCCCAGCATCATGTGTTTTGAGGTCCATCCACGCTGTAGTCTGTCTGGATGATATTCCAGTGCATGGAGAGACTGCGTTTTGTTTATCCAGTCGTCATTTGATGGACATTTGGGTCGTTTCCACTCTGGCTGTTAGGAGTAATGCTGCTGTGTGGACGTGGGTTTTCACTTCTTTCAGGTAGATACCTAGGAGTTCCCCCATTATTTTGAACCAAATTCCAGACACCTCATAGTTTTGTCTGTCAATATTTCAGTGTGCATCTCTAAGAAACATAAGAACAATACCACCATCACACCTAAAGTAGTTACCGTTACCTGCTTAGTGTCATCAAATAGATTCTAAGAAACATTTTGACAGGATTTCCTGGTGGATCTGATGTGAGCTGTGAGAGGTAGAGAAGACTCCAAGGTTTTGTGCCGCTAACTGGAGGATGGACTAGATGGGGAAGGCCTCACTGGGGTGCCATCTAGTCAGGACTGGAATACATGTGGGTATCTGGGGAAAGACTGTTTTAGAGGTGGAGAAAGCATGTGCAAAGGTCCTTAGGCAGGAGCATGTCTGTGATGTTCAGGGAAGACCGAAGAGGCAAACATGGCTGGGGCAGAGTGGATAGGGGCTGAGGAGGGCAGAGTCATGGTGGGGCTAATCATGTGGGATTAGTAAGCCAGTGAAGGATTTGGGCTTTGATCCTGAGTGTGACAGGACCCGTGGGAAGGTGCTGTGCTAGTGTGAGACATTATCTGGATTCCTGTCTAGTGTAGGGGTGTTATGGGTTGAATTATGTTCCCCCAAAAGAAATGCCCATATCCTAACCCCTGGGACCTCAGAATGTGACCTTATTTAGAAATGGGGTGTTTGCAGATGTAATCAAGTTCAGATGAGGTCACACTGGCTTAGGATGGGCCTAAATCCAATGACTGGTATGTTTCAAAGAAGAGAAACAGACACCCAGGGAAGATGGTCGCGTGACAATGGAGGCTGCTACAGCGAAGGGCCCTCAGGAGGAACCAGGCCCGCCGACACCTTGCTCTCGGACTCCTGGCCTCTAGAGGCAATCCGTTTCTGTTGTCTTAAGCCCCCTGCTTTGTGGTCCTTTTGGGGAAAGCTTACTGCAGCCTCCGGGCCTCAATGTGGAGAAGCTGGGCAGGCAGCTGGGTAGCTAAGCTGGGGTGCCGGAGGGAAGTCTGTCCTGGAGGGAGGAATCTGGAAGCCCTCAGTCCGTGGAGGGTACTGAAAGCCTTGAGACGGAGCAGGTCATCATCGTGCGCGTATAGCTGGAGAGGAGACACGGCCCTGAGACTGCCCTTGAGAAGGATGGTGGGTGGGGCCGTGTGTGCGGCCGGGAGCACAGGGCTGCTGGTTCCTACCGAGGGGTTACTGCGGAGGGCCGGGTATGCAGAAGACCGGGCTGCATCCTTGGCTTGAGCGGCCCGAGGTCTCCGGGGACCGGGATCTGGACAGTTTGATGACGGAGGCACACAGACTCCTGCTGGGCTCAGCCCTCGCGGCCTGCTTGTCAGCCTCGTGAGACTCGAGGCACCTCCGTGCTCCCGTGTCCCTGGGTCTCCTGTTGCCCCATCTGCAGGGATGAGGAGGGGCTTGGAGTGGGGGCTCATGGGACTCGATCCCTTTCCACCGCTTCAGTTGCCTCGCTGGGGGGGAGAAGCTTCCAGAGGTGAGAGGTGAGATGAGTAGGGGTGCTGAGGGTGCGAGGGGAGCCCTCGGGGGACCCGTCTCAGTGCTTTCAGCTGCCCTGGGGCTTGGGGCTGCCAGGGGTGAGCAGCTGGTAGGGAAGCATCGCCAACAGGAGGTGGCTTTTTTTCATGCAGCAGATGGCCGAGGACAAGGCCTCAGTGAAAGCCCAGGTGACGTCCTTGCTGGGGGAGCTGCAGGAGAGCCAGAGCCGCTTGGAGGCCGCCACCAAGGAGCGGCAGGCTTTGGAGGGCAGGTGAGTAGGGAGGGAAAGCCAGCCTGGAGGCCGTGTCAGGGCGCCTGAGAAGAATGAGGCCATTCAGGGGCTTCCAGAGAGCTCCTCTGTGACAGGATGGATGGGAGGACACGGGCGTGGGGCAGGTGTGTGGCGGGGCTGTGGACTGGGTGTCCAGGACCTGAGTCCCAGCGGCACTTCTGGCCTCTCTGACCTTTTGCTGGAGTTTGGATTATTTCCTGAGGGGGCATTTGCCGGGCAGTGGGGAAGAGCACCCCCGTGACCTGCAGGAAAGCACTCCAGTGCCCTCCCGGCTGAGGTTGATGACAGGGACAGGGCATGCGCCAGCACCCCCAAGGACAGAAGACGCGGGTCGGGGGTGGAGAACCCCACACCTTCGGCTTCCCCTCTCCCTCCCATGAGGGGCCAGCCGAGCACTCTCCCTTCTCCGGCAGTGACAGATGCCTCCCTGGAGACCCAGGGAGCCCACTCGAGACTCAGCGCCCCGGGTTTCATTGAGGGCTGGTCGCTGCCCGGCACGTGCCAAACTTCCCGATTCCCAGAGGAAAGCAGGTGCGCCCCCTAAACCACCCTGTGGTGCCAGAGTCCAGGCACAGGGACCACCCTTATCAGTAGGGAAAGTGTCTTGTTGATGCAGGGCACTCGCACCAGCCCACTGCCCGGGCACCACCCTGGGGCCAGCCTTGCAAGCCGGCCCTTACAAAGCTGGCAGCCTCAGGTCCACCAGTCGCTCTCTCCTGCAGAGGGAGGTTCCTGTAAGCGGGGTCATTGGGTCAAAGGGCACGGATGTTTCAGTGGTTCTCACGCCGCCCGGCTGCTGCCGTCCAGAAAGATGGGTCCAGGCGACAGAGGTGGCCCCAGCTCTCCCAGCGCGGGAGGTGATCGGGGTGCCCTGGGCGGTGTCGGGGGCGCCTTTGTGAAGGAGGCTGGAGGAGCAGGCAGGGGTGACAGCGTGTGAGCGCGCTGCCCTCTAGAAAGAAGACGGCGAAAGGGAGGCCGCGGAAGGCTGAGCCTGCTGGCCCCTGGCTCTTCGCATTCTGCTGTTTCCCGTACACGCTTCTGTCCCTCCGGGTTTCAAAAAGGCACGTGTAATTTTTAGGGCGCTTTTGGGTCTTCCCCGCCTATCTTTTTTCTATGCACATGAAAGAAGCCAACTTTGGTCACTTAATGACCCTGCAAGGGCGTTCCTCCAGCAATTGTAGGCTCTTGGGCACCCTCCTTCCCTGTCCCCCGCCCCCGTCTCCGTGGCTGAGCATGTGCGTGCTGAGCTGGACGGCTCGGGGCAGGAAGCCTGGCGCATCTCACATCATTCGGCGTGGCCATTTAAGTGGCCTCAGACTTAATGCGCATGGCTGCCCTTTGAGCCCTGGCCTGTCACATCGGGCCCCTGGCAGGCAGCACTTCCATCTGCTGATGACAGTGGCAGCCGCTAACTTATGTCGGCTCCCAGATGGGGACCTGTGTTCAGTAGATTTGGATGGGCGCGTGCACACGGTGAGACCAGAGACCGTCCCCAGTAGCCTCCCCCACCAAGAAGCAGCCACTGTCGTCGCGCAGGGAGCTGTGTGGACGTAGGGATGTGGAGCGGGGAGATGGCGGGCTGGGCCGGAGGTGGCTGAGGAGAGCTGAGCTGTCACTGCGCCATGGGACAGGGCACCGGGAATTCTCTGCTGAGGCTGCTGCTGTCTCCTGGGTGGGCAGGCGCGAGGCTCTTCGTGCAGGTGCGGACCCCAGGGCCCAGACGGGCCTGCGCCCCCTCGCCACTTCTGGAGCTGTGACTGGTCGGCAGAGAGCCTCTGAGCACTGACCCTGCCTCCCCTTCACCTCCCCCCGCCCTGCCCCATTTCTCACCTTCTCCCTCTCCGGCTTCCAGAAAGGCTCTCTTTGCTGGCTGTCTCCACCTGCTTTCCTCCCAGTCCCTCCCAGCCCATCCACTGAGATGGCTCTGGCCAGGGCCCCCAGCGCCCACGTGTCGCAACCCAATGGGCAGTTCCCTGGGGCTCCTCTCCCCTGGGACCACCTCCTTCGCCTTCCAAAGGGCTTCTCTGGGGGCTGCCATCAGCCCGACCCTGCCCCCATTCGGCTGCCCTGCAGTTGTCCCTGTTTCCAGTGATAGTGCGTCCACTGTGATGCCTGGAGGACCCCCTTGGTCCCACCTCTCTGTGACTTGTCCCCCCCTCCTTGGTCCCACTGTGCCGTGACTTGTCCCTGCCTCTGCACAGCGTGGCGGGGATGCTGGGAGCACAGGAGGGTCCTGCTACAGGCCCTCTGTGACCGCCCATGCCCTCACCAGGGTCCGGGCCGCCAGCGAGCAGGCCCGGCAGCTGGAGAACGAGCGCGAGGCGCTGCAGCAGCAGCACAGCGTGCAGGTGGACCAGCTGCGCCTGCAGAACCAGAGCATGGACGCCGCCCTGCGCATGGAGCGCCAGGCTGCCTCGGAGGAGAAGTGAGTGGGCTGCTGCCTCCTGGGAGCCCTTCCAGGGGCCGGCCGGTGGGGAGGGCCCAATGCTGTCCCTTACCGTTGTCACACCCCAACGATCCGGCTTTCAGAGGGTGACATTGTTCGCTCTCCGGTCCACATGTCAACAGCGTCCCGTCTGGGATCCTACCTTCTCCTTGTTGGCGTGTCTTTTGAGTCTTCTTTAATCTAGAACAGTCCTCCTGCTTTTCTCTGTTTCTCTTGAACTTGACTTTTTTGACCAGTACAGGACAGCTCTGTTTTATTATAAACATTTCTTTGTGTACATTTTGAAATGCCAGATTGATGGAAAATGATATGAAATAGGTAGCAAAGCTTGCCTCAGAGCTGACGGCCTTCCAGGCACACAGGCACCCTGAAAGCCACATTCTGGTCTGTGGCCGTGACGACAAGGAAGAGGGTGGAGTTGGAAGCAGTAAGAGCTGTGGCTGGGTCAGCACAAGGTGGTTCTCCAGCCTCAGCTCCTTTTCCGTAGGAGGAAGCTGGCCCAGCTGCAGGTGGCCTATCACCAGCTCTTCCAAGAGTATGACAGCCACATCAAGAGCAGCATGGTGAGCAGTGAGTGGAGCCGAGTGGACATGGTGGCGGCATCTCCTGGGCTGCCGGCCTGGGGCTGACTCCCTCAGCTCAGGGGTACTGGAACTCAAGGCCCTACCTTAACAGACTCACACAGCTGGCTCTGGAGAGGGATCCTCCATTCGACCTAGAGCTTCGTCAGGGCTCTGGGGTGATGGCTCAGGACAGGCAGTGGGGAGGCGGGGACGCTGGGGCTGTGTTGTTTGCAGCCCATGTTGGACTAGGCGGCGCCTCCAGATGCTCCGCCTGTGGGCAGGACCACGCTCGTCTCTGCAGCTGGTCCCTCCCGCCAGGCGTCCCCAGATTTCCCTGGGAATGTTTCCATACCAGTGTTGAAGGTGGCTGATACCCCTTTTCTAGTTTGTCCTCGTCAGACTTATACTGAGTGCGGCTTCTAGTGATCACATTCTAAGAAGGATGTAGTCAAACCCGAACATACCCGGAAGAGACTTATAAGGGTAAAGCCTGAAAAGTGGGTCCCATGAGGAAGAGTTAGTTAGGAAAGCGTGTCCCTTTGATCTCCAGAGGGAAGGCTTGGTGGTGTGTGTGTGCGTCTGTGTGTGGGTCTGTGGGGGGGGGGCATCCGTGAGGGACCAGCAGACCCTCGACCAGGTGGCAGAGCGGAAGGACCGACGGGCCTCGGCTTAGCGGGCACATGGTGGAGCATTAGTGCATGAGACTGGCTCAGTGTGCAGCACGTGGCCTCAGGAGGGAGTGTGGCCCCCGTCCTTTGAGGGGTCAGAGGACTGTCCAGCTGGGAAGGGAATGTCGGCCTGGGGGCGGTTGTGCCAGATGACCTCGAGGTCCCCTCCAGCCTCCGCCTTTCCTGGGCCCTGCATAGCACGGGCTGGCTGGGCCCGATCTCTCGTTCCTCTCGGTTCTGCCTTCCTGGAGCGGCAGCTGGCCTGGGGGCAGCCCTGCCCCAAGGCTGAGCCAGACCAGGCCCTGTCAGCTCCCCGTCGCCCACATCTAGGGATTGCAGCTGGAAGATCTCAAGCAGCAGCTCAAGCAGGCCGAGGAGGCCCTGGTGGCTAAACAGGAGCTGATCGACAAACTGAAGGAAGAGGCTGAGCAACACAAGACTGTGATGGAGACGGTTCCGGTGCTGAAAGCCCAGGTGAGGGCTCTCCTCTGCGGCCTGCGCGCGGGTGAGCAGACCGGGCCACTGGCGCTGGGACCGGCATGCCTCTGGCAGCGCTTTGCACTGGCCTCTCGGAAGCTCTTTGAGTCCCTCGCAGTGTTCCTGGAAGCCTCGATGCCTCTGGGGTGACTGTCTTCGTGCTGTGGGCTCTGGGAGAACAGGAGCGGGCTCTGCCTTCCCCCGGCCCCCGTGGCTGCCGTGGAGTGTCCAGTGCGTGGCTGATGGAGAGTGGGCACTGCCCCTGTCTTGGCTTTGCCAGGCGGATATCTACAAGGCGGATTTCCAGGCTGAGAGGCAGGCCCGGGAGAAGCTGGCTGAGAAGAAGGAGTTCCTGCAGGCGCAGCTGGAGCAGCTGCAGAGGGAGCACAACAGGCTGAAGACCAGCTGTCAGGAGTCGGCCAGGTGGGCCTCGGAGCGCGGGACCCACGGGGAGTGGCAGCGGGTACCGGGCCTGTCAGGTTAGGGGGAGCTGGCCTCCCTCTCCCCGCCTCGTGCCTCGTCCTTCCATCAGCTTTGTACGTGCTGGAGATTGACTCATACGTACTGATCGGACGGTTTCTTTTCTCAAAGGATCGAGGACATGAGGAAGCGGCATGTAGAGGTCTCCCAGGCCCCCTTAGCCCCTGCCCCAGGTGAGGGAGCTGCAGGGGGAGGGCTGGGGAGGGCAGGGTGCTGGGAGGAGGTGCTGAGGATCCTGGAGCCCAGCGAGAGAGCCCCTGGCCCCTCCTTCCCAGCGGTACCGCCCCTGGGGGCGGGGCTAAAGGGGAGGCGCTAGCGGTGGGGACCCAGGTCACTGGAACCAAGGTATCTTGGCACTTTCTGCCTTGGCCCTTCCCTGCAGTTTGTGCAAGGGGACACACAAGAAGCCCGCCCCCACCAGTGCCTATTCTCTTTCCCCAGCTCATCACTCCTTTCACATGGCCCTGACCAGCCAGAGGAGAAGCCCCCCTGAAGAGCCGCCCAACTTCTGCTGCCCCAAGTGCCAGTATCAGGCTCCTGACATGGACACCCTGCAGATACACGTCATGGAGTGCATCGAGTAGGGCTGCCTGCCGACACCCAGCCCAGGACAGTGCAATCTGTTGCTTTCCTCTCCTGTCTGCCTGGTCCTGAATTAGGGGCTGGGTGACAGAGGGTGGGCCCCTTCTCTGAGCCCCGAGACCTAGCCGCAGGGCCTTACGTCCCCGTCCGCTGGTTCACCTCTTTTAGGGCACACAGAGCCCCAGATAGGTGCGATGCTCTGCTTTTTCTGTTCGTTCTGTCTGCTTGAGTCCGGGGTTCGCTCTTCTTTCACCTGTGCTGGGGAAGCCAAGAGCCCAGGCCAGGGCTCCCAGACAACTGATTCCCAGGCTGAGACGGGCAGGACCCTTCGTCCCGGCCGCCTGGCACAGTGCGGTGCTGCTCTCATGGGCCGTGTGCTGTTCCATTGGCGGCTGCACCACTGTGGATCGAACTTGTCTGCTGCTAGCGGACGTTTGCGTTGTTACTGGTCTTTTTACTGTCATAAACAACACCACGCTGAAAATCCTTGTGCGTCCGTCATATGTACCTTTTGGTTGGATGCCGCAGAAGCGGCACCATTGAGCAGGGGGGTAGACAGTGCCGGCGCTCCCCTACCCTGGGCGTGCTTTCCCACTCCTCCCTCACTCCCCATCGCCCTGCCGCAGATGATGGGTGTCCAGCGCGTGGGCTTGTGCCGTCCACCAGGCGAGCCGTTCTCTGTTAAGAGGGAGCTTGAGCATCTCTTGAGAGCTTGAAGGGTCCTGTTCAGTTCTTCTGGTGTAGACAGCTTGTTTGTATTTTTTGCCCATTTCTCTATTGGGCTGTTAGTCTTTTGTTTCTTGACTTACAGCAGCTCTTTGGTCATTAGTGGGATCAGCTCTTGTGTGTGATAGAAATTTCGGTTATCTTTTCCTCCTGACTTGGTACCGGTGTGTTTGGACTGGAGCTTGTCACTTTTTTTTTTTTTTTTTTTTTTTTTTTTTTTTTTGCAGTACGTAGGCCTCTCACTGTTGTGGCCTCTCCCGTTGCGGAGCACAGGCTCCGGATGCGCAGGCTCCGCGGCCATGGCTCACGGGCCCAGCCGCTCCGCAGCATGTGGGATCTTCCCGGACCAGGGCACGAACCCGTGTCCCCTGCATCGGCAGGCGGACTCTCAACCGCTGCGCCGCCAGGGAAGCCCTGGAGCTTGTCATCTTTGTAGTCACGTTTATCCACTGTTCCTTCACGGCTTTGGGTTTGGAGTTGTTGCGACCACCTCTTGGTCTGGCGAGGGGCACGTCCCACACGTACGCTTGCCCTGACACTGCAGTGCGCTCTTGTCCTCCCCAAGTGCGTTGCCACCCAGCGTGAGCAGTGGCGGCCGTATGTCATCACATTCCAGAAGTTTGTGATGCCGTTCCCCACACCAGCCGCAAATGCCCCGGCCTGGCCAGCAGAAGCCACTCAGCAATCTTTGGCAGATTACCAGCACCAGAGGACTCTTCCTGGTTGTTTTGCAAAATTCTGGCTATTTCCGAGGATGTCAAAGCTGTGGGCATTACCCCTGCAACTGTGGTTTGCTCCTCAGTGCCCAGCCTCTTCCTGCACCCCGTGGGCTGCCCTGGTTGGGAATGGGTTTTGTCCAGGCCGCCCTGCTATGCGGCAGTGACAGGGTGGGCTAGGATCGGGGTATAAGTCTCCTGCTGGAAGACGGCCCAGCCAGCATCCTGTTCCAAAAACAGGCCTTGGCTGGGGGCTTTCTTGGCATCTGCAGGGGTGGGAGGGGCTGGCCCACTTCCTGAAGCCCAAGTATGTAGTTGCAGATGGTCCTTCGGGAGCATGTTAAAGGCACAGAGAGGTTCTCCGCTCCTGGGTGCTGCGTTTCAGTCCACATCCTGCAATTTTTCGACGAGCACTTTGTGTTTTGGGGGGAATGTGTTAGCTTCCTGTTGCTGCTGTAACAAATGGCTGCAAGCTTGGTGGCTTAAAACAACAGGAATTCATTCTTTGCCAGTTCTGGAGGCCAGAGTCTGAGGTTCAGGTGCGGGCGGGCTTGGCTCCTGGCGCCTCTGAGGGAGCCTCAGTTCTGGGCCTGTCTCCTAGCTCCTGGTGGCTGTCCTCGGTGCTCCTTGGCTGGCAGACGCGTCTCTCCGGCATCTGCCTCCGTCTTGACGTGGGCTTCTCCACTTCTGTCTGTGTCCTCTTTCTTCTCTTCTAAGGATACTTGTCGTTGGATTTGGGGCCCACCTGTGTCATCCAGGATGGCCTCATCTGTAGACCCTTAACTTTCATCACATCCCCCAAAACGCTTTTTCCAAATAAGATCACAGCCGCAAGTTCTGGGGGTCAGGACACGTATATCTCTCTTGGCCACCATTCAGCCCAGCACAGGGGCGTCTTCTGGAGCCCACAGATTAGGACAAACGCAGTCAAAGGCAGGTGTCTCCAGGAGCTGCAGCTCTGTCGGAGGGCTTGTTCCCCAGGGTGATGGTGGTGAGGAAAGCTGGAGTTGGCGGTGGGTGGGCCCTTGCAGGCTTGGGGACTGTCGATCCTTAGGACGTCTTGTCTCCAGCTGGACACCGCTGCTGCGGCCAGTGGACGTGGCCGGGAAAAGGGGTCAGTGCCGTTGGACCACCTGCAACCTGTGCTGGCTCCTGGCTGTGTAGGGATTGGCTTCGTGCTTCTAACAGGGTGGCAGGCGCACAGGAGCCCTTCTCTGATCAGCTCCCTTTTCTGAAAGGGGGTTGAAAGAAGGGGAGACCCTGGAGTGGTGCGAGGCGGACGTTCTCCCCCCCCAGGAGTGCGCCAGCACCTCGGCGGTGACCCCCACGCAGGCCGCACGGCGGCAGCGGCGAGAGCTTGACACTCGTGCTGCCCACGCCCCGGACCGGCTGAGTCGGGGCTGGGATGGGACCAGGCGCTGGCCGAGAACCACTGCTCTTTGGAACCCTCTCTTCCTGGAGGCTGTCTTGATTACTGTAACTTTGGAGTATAGTCTGGAGTTAGGGAGCCTGATTCCTCCTGTAGGGCCGACTGGACCTGAGAGACCGAGGGTTTTAAACCAGGGCTTCCACTCTCTGGCTTCGCGAACAAGTGGCTGGATTCCTCCCGTGAGGGAAGCAGCCTGCCTGTAGGATTAGCTGTGGCCCTTTGATACTCGTGACCCTGGGTTTGGGAGGTAGAGACAGACAGACAGAAGCACATCCCTGTTGTCATTCCCACACGCACCACTCCGTTACCTGCTTAAGAGGAATCCAGATGACCATAAAATAAGCAGCATATGAAAGGTTTTCTCCCTCACGAAAGACTAAAACAACACAGACTCAGACTACACACAAAGTGACGTCAAAATAGCGACAAATGAAGACTTCCAGTGCTCTGCCGACAAGGCGCAGGGACCCCCTTCCGTGGGGGCCGGTCAGGCGGGGTGACGACTTGGGCCTGTGCAGCCAGCACTGCGGACACCTCATCACCTGGAATACACTCTGTAGCACCTTGGTGTGAAAAAGCCAATAGACACAGTTATGTATAAAGTGCGACCCCCAATAAAAGAGCAAAAGATGCCGTGCACACCCTGCTACCACTTGGATGGATGTGGTGGTAGGATTACCAGTGATTAAGCTTTCCTCATGTATGTATTTCCTAGGTGCCTATCATTTGCAGGTATGAGTTTGATACATAGAGGATGTATGTTACTGCCCTGGGGTGGGTGCAGCAGGGGGCTTTGACACCAGGTGGCTGACAGCAGATGGTGCGAGGGCCGACTCGACGCCTCCATGCTGCGTGCGCACAGTGCATGGGGCAAACGACAGAGACGTGTCGTCTCCCAGTTGTGCAGGCCGGGAGGCCAAGATCCAGGGCTGTGGGCAGGGGCAGTTCCTTCTGGGGACCGCGAGGGAGGGTCTGTTCCAGGCCTCTCTCCTGGGCTTGTAGTTGCCGTCTGCTCCTGTGTCTTCACGCCGTCACTCCTCTGTGCGTGTCTGCGTCTCCAAATGTCCCCTTTTTATAGGGACACCAGTCCCATCGGATGAGGACCCACCCCGTGAGCTCACTTTAACTCGCTCGCCTCTGTAAAGACCCTGTCTCCAAACGCAGTGGCTTTCTCACGTCCTGCGGGCGAGGACTCCCATGTGTCTTCTTTGGGGGCACACATTTCAACCCATAGCACGTGGGTCACTCAGCCCTGTTTTATAGGAGGCCCGAGACAGCAACGAGTCTGCTATTTTCTGTTAGAAAACACAGCTCTGCCTGCATTGCGAGTTGGATGCCTTTGGTTGCCAGCCAACCACTGACATGTTAGAAAGGGGACAGGGCTGAGCAGGTTCCCTTGGCCGCGGCAGGACATTGCCCGTCTGAACAGACAGGGCAGACACGTCCCTGTGCGCGCTTCGCTAGGAGCAAGAGCAGCAGCGGCTCCTTGGGGAGGAGATGGGCCCAGACGGCGTCTCCCTGGCCCGTCTGCTGCTTGATGGCGGCCTGCTGATTCTACCTTTCTGAGCCTCAGGCTCCTCAGCCATGAAATGGGACCATCCGAGTATTGGCTTCCATTTGAGCAGGTTGTCCTTCGCACACTGTTCGTACATGGCGGATGGAGAAGAGGAAACGAAATAGCACTGCAGTAGCAGCACTTTCCGGGTGGGCAGTGTGGGGTGTGGCTGCCTCATGGTTTCTGCGACCTCCTCCCTTACTTTCTGGAGTGTCTCATGCCTTAGTGGCGGTGAAGCCACGGCAAGGGCGGGTCTTGAACAACCTTGGCCAAGGCAGAGCTGAACTGTGGCTGAGGTGCAAACCACAAGCCTCCGAAGCAGACGTCTCAACCTACAGTCAAGCTGCGCGCTGCACCATGGGTGGGTGGGTGGGGGAATGTCCCCAAATCCAGATGTGTAAAATGGGGAGCACGTTACTGCCGCGTCTGTGAGTTCAGCCAGGTGGGCATGGTCATGAGCCTTCACTGTGTTTCCTCATTTATTTGCAGAAGACCTCTCTAGCCCCATCAAGGTAAACCAGTGTGTAGATATTCAGAAATGGAATGCGAAAACGTGCTCGGACAGACAGCTGCACGCTGACCTGTGCTTGTACCTTTCCCGCTGACCCTGACATCTGAGAGCAGTTAAGTGCAACCAACTGAACGTAGGGTGGGAAGCAAAACTGATTTCATAAGAACATAGCGGGACTGTTGGGCTGACACAAATGTTGTAAACACGGTGCTCCACGGCAGAGGTTCCAGTGTTCTTGGTTGGATTAGCTGCTCTGCTGCTTTAGGAAATCAGGAAGAAGTGAACAATGCATCTAAGCCTTATTCTCGAGTGTGGTAACACAGCTGAGGAACTTCTGACAGACCCGGGGGTTGTTACATAAGTGCTTCTGTTACCCAGTTGTTGGCAACCACTGGCTTCCTAACAGCTGGGCTTCTCTGAGCATGTCCCCAGCAACTGCATGGTGTTGCTCACAATAAACCAGACACACACACACACACACACACACACACACACACACACACACACACACTCTGACTGCTAACTCTTTGTTGATCCCTGGCCTGCCCA